TTCGGATAATAAGCGATGCGCTTCAGCTGCGGTTTTCTTGAGTTCGAAGTAGTGAAGAAGCACATATCGGAAAAACAGCTTATCGCAATTCATTTTCAATCGATTGGAAAATCTTTTTGGCGTCGAGAAATCTAATCTGTGAGGATTGAATCACTTTCAGCGATGTCTAACTTACAAAAGACATATGACTTCATCGTCGAAACTCGCCATCGTTGGAGCCAGCACCCTCTAGTAGCGAGCGGCAGGAATTAAGTTTAACACCTAATACATGTAGGCAATAATACACGTAGGCAAATATGACACCTTTTCTGAAATTTTTACTTGCATACAAAAGTGCATGTATACAATCGAGTTGTAAGCAATAATTTTTGTGCACAAATAAACTGTCGATAAAAGTGATGTAGACAAACGACGCTATAGGCAATCGATTTGTAAGCAAAAGGAGCCATCTCTACATGCTATGTGGCTAGTGTGTCACAAATTTAAATTTATTGTACATTGTTAATTCTGTGTTGGACAATGCCCGTCATTTTTGTCAACTAAAAAAACGAAATTTGAATATATCTGTGAATATCTATGAAAATGAATAAGTATAAGATATAAGCAATCTGCGATAAATACGATGGAATTGTTGTCTGTGGATAACTGTTAAACATTCAAGTATTTATTGTGTTCATCGTAAAATAATGCGATGTGTAAATGGATGGATGTACGAAATATTCGTATATATTGTATTAGAGAATCTACAATAAATGGCACCCAACGGGAAGCAGGAACTTGATGAATATATTTATAAACAAGTTTACAATGAGTCACGTAACTGAAAATTTCCTATTCATGTTTTTCATGTCGGTGTTCAAAACATAACTGCGATGTTGATAATGTACAAACGATATGTAATATGAAAGATAAAATATTCTTTGAAGAATGTGCTCCTTTTGTCTAAACTTTCTTGTATACATACGGTTTAGAATTTCAGTTCGTCTTTCTAATCACGATTCTTTTGTTAATTAAAATATAAAAAAATAAAAATTCTTGTTTAAAAAATATTGTGCTAAAAAATACATTTGATAGATAGAAGGACTCTTCTTATAAAAATAAAATAATAATAAAGGACAAAGTAAAAGTCAACAATCAAATAAAAATAAAAATAAATTCAAATAAAATGTCTAGTTTCAAATATAAAATATAATTATTTAGAAACTTGAAACGTCAGGTACCATCAATATAAATGTATATCAACTAAGAAATTATAATATTACAAGTTTCGTCTGCCAGATTGAGCCCTCTTCAGACAATTTACGCAAAAGTCGATATACAGATGAGTTGTCGAAAATACACGCATATTCCTCACCATATAAGTCTGAGTGAGTCTTCAAAGTAGAAATCGACATTGTTCGCACACGATTGGACAGTCAAATTCAATGTCTATCGTAGAAAGATCTAATCAATATATAAAATAACTATTTTATAAAAAAAACATTATTTTAATAATAAAACGTTATTTTATATAATAAATATTATTATATAAAATAACGTTTTCTTATGAAATACTAAAAACCAATAAGAAAAGCAGCACAACAAAATTCTAATAATAATAAAAACTCACCAGAAGTCATATGTAAAATAGTTAAACAAGTTCATCGTTGTAAGTATAGTTTTTTTTCATTATTCGGACTTTAATTTTTGTATTTATAACGGTGACCTTGTTTAACTATTTTACATATGACTTCTTGGTGAGTTTTTATTATTATTAGAATTTTGTTGTGCTGCTTTTCTTATTGGTTTTTAGTATTTCATAAGAAAACGTTATTTTATATAATAATATTTATTATATAAAATAACGTTTTATTATTAAAATAATGTTTTTTTTATAAAATAGTTATTTTATATATTGATTAGATCTTTCTACGATAGACATTGAATTTGACTGTCCAATCGTGTGCGAACAATGTCGATTTCTACTTTGAAGACTCACTCAGACTTATATGGTGAGGAATATGCGTGTATTTTCGACAACTCAGCTGTATATCGACTTTTGCGTAAATTGTCTGAGAGGGCTCAATCTGGCAGTCGAAACTTGTAATATTATAATTTCTTAGTTTATATACATTTATATTGACGGTACCTGACATTTCATGTTTCTAAATAATTATATATTTTACATTTGAAACTAGATGTTTTATTTTAATTTATTTTTATTTTTATTTGATTGTTGACTCTTACTTTGCCCTTTATTATTGTTATTTTAAAAAATACATGTTTTTTTTAATCAAATATTGATTGTAACGATTTCCGATCAAAATGATAACAAGTTTAATCTCTCTAGAAAAATCAATCTTAATTTGAATTGTTGATAGAACTATTTGCAAGATATTATTTTTAAAAAGAAAATGTTTTTTTTATAATAAGAAGAAATTTTTATTGAATCAATATTTGAATGAATTACAAAATTAAATATGTATATGTAATATAATAATTTAGCGCGAATAGAAAAGTACCTTTGGTATTTGAATAATTGAAAATAAACGTTCATATATTAATTCAAGATATTAGCTCACATGAGAGATCTAAGCATTATTTAATTAATTTTGTATCGTGCAACACCAATTATTGTCAAATACAGCATAAAAGAAATATTTACATAACATGCGTGCATTCAAAGCAATGTGATCGCAACAATTGATACGTTAACGAACGACGTATCTCTCAGTAATGTTTTATTTTCGATCTGCACCGCACAAATCGCCGTGAAACCCTGAACTTGAGTCCTTTACAAAGGTAACTTTGACTCTTTTTCTGATGGGGACATTATGAACAGGTGGTGGTGGAGCTCTACAGTCCCTTGATGCCTGGTCTTCCTCTTCTCGTTCGATCTTAAACCTTTTTTGGGCACAATTCGAACCACTCAATCCTATTCCGTTTGTAATTGACGTGTTACTCGTCAAAGATGAAGAGGAGCCATTAGGTACTGTACTAGTGTTCGATGAGATTTGCGGTGATTTCGGAAAACTCGAGGACCGTCCGCTCGATGGAGAACGTATAAGATTTCCATTGCTGTTGCTGTGAAAAACATAGAATTAGAAATATTAGTAATTAAAACGATGCATAATACACTCAATGAAATACAGAATAGCTTGTTTAAAAAGTACGAATATTTAAGTCAATAAAAAATTATGTACATTTTTCTTTTACATTCTTTTCTTAAGGAATTTCAAAAAAAGTAAAGATTAAAAGAAAAGTGGTTTCGGCAAAAATATATACAGTGTGTTTGAAATTTAAATGTCAAAACTTCGGGAGCTTGTAGGGGATCGATAAACTAAAAAAAAAGTTCTGTAGAAATATGCTCGTTTTGGAGAAAATTGCAAAAAAGACAGAACGTAGTTGCTTCGTTCTCACACTGCCTCTGAAATATTATCGTCTCTGAAATCGTGCACGAAAGCAATAATAATAATTCTGTAGGTAAAAATTTTGTTTGTTTGTTTACATTTCTGCCTTTCTCCTATGAATTTTTCAGTTATTCATCAGAAGTCATCGAATGAACTACTCCTGTCACAATATGCCGCGTATATATTCTAACGTTGTATATGCTGATATGGTTTTCGTCTGTCTTCTGCGACAAGAGGTCAACATTTTGAACAATATCTACATTAAGCAAGTGAATAAATACAATGTGAATAAGTAATGAGAAAGTACAAAAATTAAACTTACTGGTTTTGTCTTTTTTGCGATTTCCTTCAAAACGAAGCAAAAACGAGTATACCTCTACAGACTTTTTTTCTTAGTTTATCGATCCCTTTCACGCTCCCGAAGCTTTGACATTTAAATTCCA